GGTGTCCCTATGTTCTGTGTTGCCCTGCCCAGGCTGGTCTCCAACTCCTAGGCTCAAGCAATTCCTCCTTGGCCTCCCAAAGTACTGGAATTACAGATCTGAGCCACTGCGCCTGGCCTGTTTCCTCATCTCTTACTTTATTTTTGTCTCCTTGGGTTGTATTCTAGGTAATTTTTTCAGATCTATCTTGGAATTCATTGGTTATCTCTCTTCAGCTATGTCTAATCTGCTGTTTTAATTTTTATATTATTAATTTTAGTAAGGTAGTATTAAATCACATTACACATACACTTTTTTTTTTTTTTTTTTTTTTTTGAGACAAGGTCTCACTCTGTCACCCAGGCTGCAGTGCAGTCTCACGATCACTATTTTGTTTTTAAAAGAGGCAGTGTAGTTTAGAAAGGAATGGTCTCCTTAACCCAGCTATATGTTCAAATGCCAGGTCCACTGTTCTATGCTATGGGATCTTAGGTAAATTATTCCTGTGTCTCAGTTACCTCATTTGTAAAATAGAAACAATAATATCTTCCTTGGCCAGGTGCGGTGGCTCAACGCCTGTAATCCTAGCACTTTGGGAGGCCGAGGCGGCCTTATCATGAGGTCAGGAGATCAAGATGATCCTGGCTAACACGGTGAAACCCCATCTCTACTAAAAATACAAAAACAAAATTAGCCAGGCATGGTGGCAGGCACCTGTAGTCCCAGCTCCTCGGGAGGCTGAGTCAGGAGAATGGCGTGAACCCGGGAAGTGGAGCTTGCAGTGAGCCGAGATCGTGCCACTGCACTCCAGCCTGGGTGACACAGCGAGACTCCGTCTCAAAATAATAATAATAATAATAATATCTTCCTTAAAGGATGTTGTGAAAATCATGAATTAACTATTCAAATTATCATTATCTAACATTCCAGTGCCTGTGATCTCTTTCTTATTTCTGCAATTGTTTTCTTTTTTCCGCTAACTCTCACTCATGATGGATTATGAACTTTTGTTAACAGGTTTATTGAGATATAATTCACATATCATACATTTACCCATTTAATGTATGCAATTATTTTTGCTATATTCTCAGAGTTGTGCAATAATCACAGTTGGTTTTAGAACATTTTCATCATTGTCCCAGAAAAACCCTGAAGGCTTTAGCCGTCATCTGTCAATCTTCCTAGCCCTAGATAACCACTAATCTACTTCCTGTTTCTATAGATTTGCCAATTCTGGACATTTCATATAAAGGGAATCATACAATATGTGGTCTTGTGACGACTAACTTTAACTTAGCATAATATTTCAAGGTTCTTTGATGTTGTAGCATGTGTGTCAGTACTGTGTTACTTTAAATGGCCATAAATTCCATTTTATGGATATATGATGTATGACTTTTTTTTTCTTTTAGAAATGGGATATTTCCATGTTGCCCAGGATGGAGTACAGTGGCTATTTCTCAGGCATGATCATAGTGCAGTATAGCCTGAAACTCTTGGGCTCAAGCAGTCCTCCTCTCTCAGCCTCCTGAGTAGCTGGGACTACAGGTATACACCACTGCACCTGGCTTAACATGTTTTTTTATACATTCATCAGTTGAATGACATTTTTATTGTTTCCATTTTGTGTCTACTATGAATAATGCTGGTATGAACATTCACATACAAGTTTTTGTGTAGACACATGTTTTTATTTGTCTGGGGTATACACCTAGAAGTGAAACTGCTGGAACATATGGTAACTCTAAGCAAAACTTTTCCAAAGTGGTTGCACAATATTACATTCTCACCATCAATGTATGAGGATTCTGATTTCTCCAAATCTTCACCAACACTCATTATGTACTATTTTGATTACAGCCATCCTAGTGGATCTGAAGAAGTATCTAATTGTTTTAATTTGCATTTCTCTGATGCTATGGTCTGAATGTTTATACACCACACCATGCCTCCAAATTCATATATTGAAACCAAATCACAAATGTGATGGTGTTAGGAGGTGGGACCTTTGGGAGATGATTAGTCATGAGGGTGGACTTCATGAATGAAATTTTTTCCTTATGAAAGAGACTCCAGAGAGCTGCCTTGCCCCTTCCACCACGAGAGGACACAGCAAGAAGGTGCCATCTATGAATCGGGAAACCAGCTCTCACTGGAAACTGATCTTGGACTTTTCAGCCTTCAAAAAAATGGTATTTTGTTATAGCCGACAGAATGGACTAAGACACCTGATGACGAATGATGTTAAACATCTCTTTTTATTCTCATTGGCTACTTATATATCTTCTTTTGAGGAACACGTATTCAAATTATTTACCAATATAAAACATTTGTAGCATTTTAAAAATGGAGATATAGGCTGGGTGTAGTGGCTCATGCCTGTAATCCCAGCACTTTTGGGAGGCCAAAGTGGGCAGATCACTTGAGGCCAGGAGTTCGAGACCAGCCTGGCCAACAAGGTAAATCCCTGTCTCTACTAAAAATACAAAAACTAGCCAGATGTGGTGGCACATGCCTGTAATCCCAGCTACTCAGGAAGCTGAGGCAGGAGAATCACTTGAACCTGGGAGGCAGAGGTTGCAGTAAGCTGAGACCGTGCCTTTGTACTCCAGCCTGGGAGACACAGTGAGGCTCTGTATCAAAAAAAAAAAAAAAAAAGATATTTCACATAACATAAAGTTCACCGTTTTATAGTGTACTTACACTACCATGGTTTTTCGTATATTCATTATTGTGCAACCAACACCAGTAATTTCAAGAGATTTTTGGCCAGGTGTGGTGGCTCACACCTGTAATCCCAACACTTTGGGAGGCTGAGGCAGGTGGATCTCTTGAGCCCAGGAGTTCGAGAGCTGCCTAGGTGAAACCCCATCCCTACAAAAAATAAAATAATTTTTAAAAAATTAGCTGGGCATGGCAGTGTGTGCCTGTAGTCCCAGCTAGTTGGGAGGCTGAGGAGGAGGAGGATTGCTTGAGCTTGGGAGGCGGAGGTTACAGTGAGCTGAGATTGCACCACTGCACTTCAGCCTGGGTGACAGAGTGAGATCCTGTCTCAAAAAAAAAGACATTTTCATTCCCACTCAAACTCCATATTGGCAATTATTCCCAATTCCCCTCCACCCCCATTCCCTGGGAACCAATAACCTATGTGCTTTCTCTATGAGTTTGCCTATTCTGGACATTTCATATAAGTCAAATCACAGTATGTGGACTTCTGTATCTGGCTTATTCACTTAGCATGTTTTCAAGATTCATCCATGTTGTATCATGTCAAAGTACTTCAATAGATTTTTTATGGCTGAAGAATACTCCATTGTAGCAGTAATCTACATTTTGTTTATCCATTAATCAGCTGATGCTATCTTCTTTGCTGTGTATCTTTTGTCCATATTTTTAGTCGGATTATTTCTTATTGTTGAGGTTTGCTTTGTTTTTTTAGAGACAGGGTCTCACTATGTTGCCCAAGCTGGACTCAAACTCCTGGGCTCAAGCGATCCTCCTGCCTCACCCTCTTGAGTAGCTGGGACTAAAGGGGACACCACTGCATCTGGCTTATTGTTGAATTTTAAGGGTTCTTTAATATTTTGGATACAAGATGTTTTATTGCATATGTGTTGTATAAATATTTTATTACAATGTGTGGCTTGTCTTTTCATCATCTTAACAGTGTCTTTTGCAGAGCAGAAGTTTTAAATTTTAATAAAGTCCAACTAACCAATTTTTTTCTTTCATGGATTGTGCTTTTACTGTTGTATCTAAAACGTCATTGCCAAAGCCAAGATCACCTAGATTTTCTCCTATATCATCTTCTAGAAGTTTTGTAGTTTTGCATTTTATGTTTATATCTATAATTGAGTCAATTTTTGTGAAAATGTAAAATCTATGTCTAGTTCCAATTTCTTTTCTTTTTTTTTTTTTTTTTGGCTTATGGATATCTAGTTGTTCCAACACCACTTGTTGAAAAGACCATTCTTTCTCCATTGAATTGCCTTTGGTCCTTTGTCAAAGATCAGTTGAGATCTGTTTCCAAGCTCTCTATTCTGTTCCATTGATCCGTGTGTTAATTCTTTTGCCAATACCACACTGTCTTGATTACTGTAGCTTTATAGTAATTTTTGAAGTTGGGTAGTGTTGTGTCAGTTCTCCAATTTTCCTCCTCTTCAGTGTTACTATTCCAGGTCTTTTCATTTTCCTTGTAAACTTTAGAATTAGTTTGTTGATAACCACAAAATAATTTGCTGTGATTTTGATTAAGATTGCATTGAGGCCGGGTGCAGTGGCTCATGCCTGTAATTTCAGCACTTTGGGAGGCCAAGGTGGGCAGATCACCTGAGGTCAGGAGTTGGAGACCAGCCTGACCAACATGGAGAAACCCCGTCTCTACTAAAAATACAAAAAAAAATTAGCTAGGCATTGTAGCACATGTCTATAATCCCAGCTACTTCGGAAGCTGAGGCAGGAGAACCGCTTGAACCCATGAGGCGGAGGCTGCTGTGAGCCAAGATCGTGCCATTGCACTCCAGCCTGGGCAATAAGAGCAAAACTCTGTCTCAAAAAAAAAAAAAAATGCATTGAATGTATATATCTAGTTGGAAAGAATTGGCATCTTACAATATTGAGTCTTCCTACCCATGAACATTGCATCTCTCTACTCACATAGCTGTTTTTAAAAATTATCTTTTGGCCAGGCGCAGTGGCTCAGGCCTGTAATCCCAGCACTTTGGGAGGCTGAGGCGGATGGATCGGGAGGTTAAGAGATAGAGACCATCCTGGCCAACATGGTGAAACCCCATCTCTACTAAAAATACAAAAATTAGCTGGGCGTGGTGGCGCGTGCCTCTAGTCTCAGCTACTCAGGAGGCTGAGGCAGGAGAATCACTTGAACCCAGGAGGCGAAGGTTGCAATGAGCCGAGATCACACCACTGCACTCCAGCCTGGTGAGAGAGCAAGACTCCGTATTTTTGGTAGAGACGGGGTTTCACCATGTTGCCCAGGCTGGTCTTGAACTCCTGACCTCAGGTGATCCACCCACCTCAGCCTCCCAAAGTGCTGGGATTATAGGAGTGAACCACTGCGCCTGGCCAGCAATGTGTTTTTAATGTTGAATTATAATTGTTCGTTGCTGGTATATAAGAAAACAGTTGACAAAGATAGTTTTATTTCTTCCTTCCCAATCTTTTATTTCCTTGTCTTGTCTTATTGGACTAGCTAGGGCTTCAATATGATGTTGAATAGGAGTGGCAAGAGGGGGACATCTTTACCTTATTCTAATCTTAGGGAGAAAACTTCTAGTTTCTCACCATTAAGTATACCCTAGCTGTAGGGTTTTTTTGGTAGTTGTTCTTTAACAAGTTAAGGACAGTTCCCCTCTACTAGCTTGAGTAAGTGAAGGCTGGATTTCTGAAGCTTCAGTGTGAAATGATGTGAAATGCTGTGTGACATCCAGAGGGGGATGTTGGAGTTAAGCAGAGTACCTAGGAGAGGGGACTGGGATGGAGAAAGAGCAGGGAATCACTGGCATATCCATGATGCCCGAAGTCATGGCTATGGATGTGATTGCCAGGGAAGTATGTGCTGCTGTTGGTCAGGCAATTGGTCACCTTAAACAAAAATAATCACAACTCTGTGCATGATAAATACCTGTGACTCTAAATGTGTGTTCCTGAGGATAGCCTGGCTACCTCACTAGGACCACAGTGTAAATATTGTTGATGGCCTGCTGTACCTTAGGCACCGTGCTAGACAGTGCCTTGCATTATCAGGTTATCTCATTTAATCCTTGCAGTTTTCAAGATGAGTACTGTTAATACAATTACCAGATTGAGAAAACAGAAACCCAGAGGGTTTCGATATCTTACCCAGGTGAGAGCACTCATAAGACAGGGCCGAAAGTGACTCTGAAGCCTATGCTTGCCCTGCTCTCCCACACTGCCCACAGTGTTTGGGCAAGGAGAAAAAACAGGCTCAGATGGGAATGACTGCAGGGAGTCTGAGGAGAGGACCCATGTCCATTGGGTCATCTGGAGTGGCCTGAGGCTCAGCACCACTCCCACCAGGAGGGAAGGGCTTGCTTGACCCAAAGTGCCTAGCCTGGAGTGTCTAGTCCCACACTGCAAGGAGAGCTGCAAGTCTAAGGGGAACCTCCACCTCCAGAATTCAGGCAATGGTGGCTAAGATGAGAGGACAGTTATCCATCCACTGACCCTGGCCCCTCACACTCTTAAACATTCCCTGGTCTTCCACATACCCTGACCCACCATACCTGTACTCTCCAACCCCCGAGGATGGGCCTGCGCTGAGTCTATGTGCTGCTTTACAGAGTTTGAATAATTCAAGCCCCAGAGGCCTGAGGTATCAGTTTCCTTTGCTCTGTTGTCATGGGGACAGGTGTCTTAACACCTGTGTAATGCACAGGTATAATTAAGCTAATGAAAGGGCAAAGAGGGAAGGGCTGCTGTCCTGTGCCTCAGATGACTCTGGGCTGATCAAGGGAGTCCCTGGTCCCTGTTCTGCTGAGAGAGCAGCAGGCCCATCTAGAGTCCAGGTATGGGGAATGGAAGAAGGAAGGAAGGAATGAGGGATGAAACAGAAGTAGGAGAAAGGGAGAGAGAGTGGAAAGAGGCAGGCAGGGGGCAATCAGAGTCAGGGAGGCAGAGAGACCAAGAAAGTTACAGAGGGAAAGAGAAGGAAACAGAGACAGAGTGAAAGGCAAAGCGGGTGGGGAGCATAGGAAAGGGCAGAGGCCAGAAGAGGCAAGGACCAGCAGAGAAGAAGAAAGACCAAGTACTAAACTCCAGGGGCAGGCACAAATTGGAGGGTCAGAAGACTGGAGGGGCTGCAGGGCCCGCTGGAGGGTGGTTGGACCCGCCAGAGATCTCAGTCTTACTTCTGACTTCTAGGTTCTGTCCATACCATCCTTGCCAGCTGGGCCTAATTTTGCCCTAGGTCTGGCCAGGAGGTGTCACACCCAGAGACCTGCCCCACCTCTTGCAGTGCCAGGACCATGGGGCTCCGGAGCCACCACCTCAGCCTGGGCCTTCTGCTTCTGTTTCTACTCCCTGCAGGTATGAAGCTCGTGGTGATGCTATTCCTGTTCTCCCAAAATCCGTTTCCATGTAGTCTCTCTTGTGTTTCTCCTCAGTACCTGTTTTGAGAACAAGCTCTCTATTCGGGGAGTGTGGAGAAGAGGGGTGCTGAAGTGGGTGAGAGGAGACTTGCTGGCTAAGGTGGGAACAATGAGTGGGGAGCTTCCAGAGACAGGGTTGGGAAAATCAGAGGGGCCAGATGCTGAAGGGCCTGCCGGTCAGGCCAGGTCTTTCTCCTGCAGACGATGGGGGCAGCACTGAAAGGTTTCAGCAGCATACTAGCCTGGTCAGATATACATGCTTAAAAGCATGGTCTATGGGCATGGGAGGGGTAGGAGGTGAGCCTCAGGGAGAGGGTGACAGTGAAGGGAAGGGCCCGGCCTGGAGGGGAGAGGGCAGACTCAAGATCATGTTTAGCAAAATCTGGAGGATTTGAATGATCTGACAGGATCTGGAGATTAACTGGATTCCAAGAGGAGGAGGCAGGAGAGGGAGAAGGGAGGGATAATTCCCAGATTTCCAGCTGAGGTCACTATTGCAACTGAGGGCATGCTATTTGCTGAGATAGGAAACATGGGATAGGAAGTAGGTTTCAGAGCATGGAGGGAGGAAGCGAGTTCAGTTGAAAGTGCCTGTGGGAAACTCAGGAGTGGACTGTACTCTATTTGGGTCTGGAGCTCAGGAGAAAAATCTGGGATGAAGAAAAAGAAGGGAGCCAAGGACAGTATTCATGGGAACAATATTTAGGTCAGGGATTGAGGAAAATGTGTGTCAGGAAAGCCTGGGGAAGAGTGTGTTTTCAGAAGGAAGGAATGTTCCATCGCATCAGAAGTTTTGAAGAAACCAGCTTGAGATGGAGAAGTGGAAACAGGTTTGAGAGAGACAGGAAGGGGCAGAGCAGTGGGGTTCAGAATCCCTAGGTGAAAGTCTGGACTCTTGTGGCTTGTTTGGATCCCTCTAGCATTTGTGGAGAGGCAGGCAGACTCCAGGTTCTTGAAAAGGGAAGGGTGGAGGAGAAATTTTTCAGCGTACTGCCAAAAGATAGTAACAATTCACTCCATGGCCTTTATCTTGTGTGTCCCTGCAGGCAAGCCAGGGAGGAACTAGAGCCACAGCTAGAGCAAGAAAGGGCAGACACAGGAGGACACTCATAAGGACAGGGCCTCAGCCCTGCGAGTGGAGGGTGTGAGCAAAGGCCCTGAGACTAGGGCCTGGGATGGACAACCCTCCTTACTGACCCTCCAGAGTGCCTGGGAGCTGAGGGCCGGCTGGCTCTCAAGCTGTTCCGTGACCTCTTCGCCAACTACACAAGTGCCCTGAGACCTGTGGCAGACACAGACCAGACTCTGAATGTGACCCTGGAGGTGACACTGTCCCAGATCATCGACATGGTGCGTTGTAGTAGTGGTACAGCTGTGGAGTCTTACCTGTCACAGTGTCAAGAAATGAAGGGGTGAGAGACTGGGATTTTTCTCCACGGAATTCCTTTTCTGTAAATGTTAATATTAACAAAGATAGCAGTTACCAACTGTTGGATACTGACTGTTGGGTGCCTACCTTGTGCCCAATATTTTGCACTCCTGAACTTATTGAATCCCTGCTAAGCGGGGATTCTCACCTCATATAACTGCTGAGGAAATGGGCCCAGAAAAGAGAAGAGCCCACTAAGGTCACATGGCAAGGTCAGGTCTGGGTGGGAACTGGACAGTATGGACAAGTCAGGTTTGTGGGTGCTGACCAGAGCCCTGCAGGGGAGTGTACACAGACGGGGCAGGATATGCATATACATGTCCACATCTCTGCCATCCCCTGCCCCCACTAGGATGAACGGAACCAGGTGCTGACCCTGTATCTGTGGATACGGCAGGAGTGGACAGATGCCTACCTCCAATGGGACCCCAATGCCTATGGCGGCCTGGATGCCATCCGCATCCCCAGCAGTCTTGTGTGGCGGCCAGACATCGTACTCTATAACAAGTACTGCCTATCTGGGCTCTTCCCCTCTCCTACCCCTCTCTAGACTTGCCCTTAGCCATGGGTGTGCACTGATCCCCTCTCCCTACCACACAACCCGGTTGCCATGTTGCCCTGGAAACTTTTCCCCAGGACCCTTCTAAGCTGCCAGGCATTCACAGCCCCTCCATGGCACCCCCACTTTAGGCTATCCCAGGCCAGCCCAGGCTGAACGTCTCCTGGGAACCTACTGTGTGGTCCAGGGCAGATTCCTGGATCACAAGGACCTCTCTAGGGCACATTTTTAGCCCTGAGTCTCTCAAGGCTCCCCCAAGAGCCTGTCTAAGGTTCTCTTTCCCCCAGGACATCTGGAACACTGCCTTATTTTCTCTGGGGCCCCTCTATAAGTTTTGCAGATGTCCCCCAAGGGAAGTCATTGTGTGTCCCGGAGTTGCCTCTGGGTTCTGCAGAGGCCTGTTTATACGTCCTCTGGCTACGTCTGTGTCCCTTCTGGGCCCTTCAGGTGCCACCCCTTCCAAGCAGCGGGTCTCTCTAGGTGCACTTCACCCTCTGTGTTGCTTTGTTCTGAAAACGAGAGTCAAATTAACGAAAGAAAAACAAGCAGAAGTTTATTTATTTATTTATTTATTTATTTATTTATTTATTTATTTGAGACGCAGTCTCCCAGGCTGGAGTGCAGTGGCGCCATCTCCGCTCACTATAAGCTCCACCTCCCGGGTTCACGCCATTCTCCTGCCTCAGCCTCCCAAGTAACTGGGACTACAGGCGCCCACCACCACGCCTGGCTAATTTTTTTGTATTTTCGGTAGAGACGGGGTTTCACCGTGTTAGCCAGGTTGGTCTCAATCTCCTGACCTCATGATCCACCCGCCTCGGCCTCCCAAAGTGCTGGGATTACAGGCGTGAGCCACCGTGCCCGGCCACAAGCAGAAGTTTATTAACCTGCTGTACCCATCACGGGAGAGGGCTTAGTTCAAAAGTATTTCTCTCTGAAGGCAGTGGCTTAGAGGCCTTGCTTAAATAGAAATTCAAGAAAGATCCAGTAAGTTGTAAATAGTGGCAAGACAAAGGAGAGCAGTTCCAGCCTTTAAAAGGCGGGAAAACGTGGGAAGAGGGTAAAATCTGTTCCCAGATTCCTCTGGCACCTACTGGTGCCCTTTGGAAAAGCAAGTGCTGTCTCCAGCAAGGAAGGGCTGGTGTCTTGCCATCAGGCCAGCAGCTGTTGGGGCCAGGTGCTCCCCTGCGTCGTGTCTCGAACTCAATGAGCCTCAATATTCTGGGGAGAAGTTTTGGTTTCTTTCAGACCCTGGGGGTCTGCCCTGGGCTCCTGGCCTCCAGGGCTGCTTCTCGGGCTGGACAGCCTAGGTGAGCCAAGCCCCGCCCCGCCTGCCCGCAGGGCGGACGCGCAGTCGCCAGGCTCGGCCAGCACCAACGTGGTCCTGCGCCACGATGGCACTGTGCGCTGGGACGCACCGGCCATCACGCGCAGCTCGTGCCCCGTGGACGTGGCGGCCTTCCCGTTCGACGCCCAGCGCTGCGGCCTGACGTTCGGCTCCTGGACTCACAGCGGGCACCAACTGGATGTGCGGCCACGCGGCGCTGCCGCCAGCCTGGCGGACTTCGTGGAGAACGTGGAGTGGCGCGTGCTGGGTATGCCGGCGCAGCGGCGCGTGCTCACCTACGGCTGCTGCTCAGAGCCCTACCCCGACGTCACCTTCACGCTGCTGCTGCACCGCCGCGCCGCCGCCTACGTGTGCAACCTGCTGCTGCCCTGCGTGCTCATCTCGCTGCTTGCGCCGCTCGCCTTCCACCTGCCCGCCGACTCGGGCGAGAAGGTGTCGTTGGGCGTCACCGTGCTGCTGGCGCTCACCGTCTTCCAGCTGCTGCTGGCCGAGAGCATGCCGCCGGCCGAGAGCGTGCCGCTCATCGGTGAGCAGCGGAGGTGCGGGGGGACCTGACGACGCGCCGGGGCACCCCGAGGGCGGGGCCGCGATAGGGCCTGGGTCTGCCGAACGGCCCGCTTCAGAGAATGAGGCGGGGGCGTCCTGGGAACGTCCTCCAATTTTGAGACTGAGGGGAAAGGATTAGCTCCTTCCAGGGAGAACACCCCTCACGACTGGGTCTTGATGGTGGAACATCAGTATCCCCAGATCCTAGTAATAGGCAAAATCCGTCGACTGCTCACTGTGTGCCAGGCACTCCCCTAAGCACTTGACCTTTATTAACCCAGGTAAACATCACCACAAACCTAGGAAGTAGGTCCTCTGGTTATCCCATTTGTACAAAAAGGATTTGTATCTTGCCCCAGCTCATGCCCATCGTTATTTGAGAGTGGGACTGTCCTGGATTGTGTATGAGTGCAGCTTCCAGCAGTGAGGGGAGCAATTAGGGAGCAGTAGCTTCTGATGACCCACGTGTAGGAATGAAGGATGGGGAGAACTTGGCCCTTACCTCCTTCCTGCTTCCATCCATGGGGCTTGGAGGGTCTGGAGAGCCTCATGGTGGGCTCATTTCCATTTGTGTAGAGGTGACTGGGAAGCTCAGGATCCACAGGCTTTTTGTTTTGAGTCCCAATTGGCTTTCTCTCTCTCTTGCAGGGAAGTACTACATGGCCACTATGACCATGGTCACATTCTCAACAGCACTCACTATCCTTATCATGAACCTGCATTACTGTGGTCCCAGTGCCCGCCCAGTGCCAGCCTGGGCTAGGGCCCTCCTGCTGGGACACCTGGCACAGAGCCTGTGCGTGCAGGAAAGAGGGGAGCCCTGTGGGCAGTCCAGGCCACCTGAGTTATCCCCTAGCCCCCAGTCTCCCGAAGGAGGGGCTGGCCCCCCAGCGGGCCCTTGCCACGAGCCACGATGTCTGTGCCACCAGGAAGCCCTACTGCACCATGTAGCCACCATTGCCAATACCTTCCGCAGCCACCGAGCTGCACAGCGCTGCCATGAGGACTGGAAGCGCCTGGCCCGTGTGATGGACCGCTTCTTCCTGGGCATCTTCTTCTCCATGGCCCTGGTCATGAGCCTCCTGGTGCTGGTGCAGGCCCTGTGAGGGGTAGGACTAAGTCACAGGGATCTGCTGCAGCCACAGCTCCTCCAGAAAAGGACAGCCATGGCCAAGTGGTTGCTGGTCTGTAAGCCAGCCAGTCTCTCCCCACTACTCCTAAGACCCTGGGACACTTGACTTCACAATCCACAAGGGAGCACTCATTGTGTACACACCCTAACTAATGGAAATCCAGAGCCTGCCACTCCCCTAATTCCAAAAAAAAAAAGAAGAACTCTACAAAGGCCAAGGTCACAGAGTACAGTCTTGGAGGGACAGAATTGTTTGTGCTGGGTACTAGAGCTCTCAGTGGAGAGCATGCGGGTTATCATGAGAAACTGAACTGAACTGCTCCGTTTCCTGTCTTCCTTCCTAGGTGGCTTCTTTGCAGGGCCTTGGCTCTTACCTTTCCCTGCCGAGAGGCTCAGGGAAAAGGATTGGGGATTCTCAGTTGAGTTTCCAGAGCAGGAGGCCCTACAGACATTTGGCCCCACATCCCCGACTCAATAAAGTAAGCGTGTACCTAGCACCTCCTCGATGCCCTGTATTACCCTTGAGGTCTGTGGTAGTGGAAGCTGGGGGTCCAGGTCTGTCTGTACTTCAGGTCTGTCTCATGGCCACTGGTGCAAGTCCAAGTCCAAGTTCAAAGCCTGAGAACCTGAAGTTCTAATGTCTAATGGTAAGAGAAGGATGTCCCAGCTCCAGGAAAGAGCATGAATTTGCCTTTCTCCTACTTTTTTGTCTTCTCCATGCCCTCCCATATTGAGAGTGGAACTTGCCACTCAGTCCATCAACTCACACGCCAGTCTCCTGCTGAAAACCCTCACAGACACATCCAGAAATAACGCTTTCCCAGCTGTCCATGTATCGCTGGTGTCCATGGTGGTGGATTATCAGAACTTATTAATGTCACTGTCACTAAAGTTGGTATATAACCCCCCACTGCTAAATATGACGAGCTTAAAAAAAAAAAAAGAACTTAGGCAACCTAGGGAGACCCTGTCGCTACAAAAAACACAAAAATTAGTCAGGTGTGGTGGCACATATCTGTAGTCCCAGCTACTTGGGAGGCTGAGGTGGGAGGATCTCTTGAGCCCAGGAGTTTGAGGCTACAGTGAGCCATGATGAGAGGAGCCTCAGGACTCATGGATTAGAGCAGAAGTTACATCTGTGCTGACAAAAGAATGGGATTTGACTGAGGTGCTGATGGAGGACTAGAGCTCTCTCTTCCATCTCTCCTTCTCTCTGTGTGCTGGAGTTAGGCACCGTCCACCCCATTCTCACACTCAGACACTGAGAGCTTGACAGTGTCCAAGGCAGGGGCAGTGCAGGGACCAGCCACTCACAGGTATTTGTTCCTTTCTGAGCTTCACACATTTCCTGACACTACCTCTGTGCCTCTGACCCAGTCCCTTCCCTCAGGAAGCTCACAGTCTGACATGGCAGACAGACATGGATATGTGGTATACGGAAGCATTCAGGGCTCTGTGGAAGCATAGAGGCAGGGTCACTACCCCAGCTGGGTGGGAGAGGTCACAGAAGGCTTCCTGGAGGAGTGAACAGGAGCTTTCCAGATGGACATGTGAGGCATCTGAGTAACACCAACAGGTATCAACTGCGAAGTGCTTTCCTCTCCAGTCACCCCCCAAATCAACTGAAGTCTTTCTATCTCCAAGTGAGTTGCTGCCTGTCTTGAAGTACCCCCCACACCACCGGCCCAACCCTTTATTCAGAGTCTCACTCCTAGAGCCCTGAGTAAGGTTCAGTCCCCAAATTGTCTCCTGTTTCTCCACCAGCAGGTCTGGCAGCTACCAGACAAGGTCCCAGAGTTCCCTGCAGATGGGGTTGCCAGGAATCTTGGTTACACTGAAAGTACACATTGCCAACATCCTCAGGATGGGCAGAGGCAGCAGGTGAGGCTGTCCCGTGTCTCATGCATCAAAGGAGGCCTGGACTGTCTGGAAAGGCCCTCACTGCAAGGAACCAGAGCAGCAGCAGCAGAGACGAAACTGCAGAGAGGGGGCTCTGACCCATGGCTGCAGGGAAAACAGGCAGAGAGGTTTTGGGAGAGAGAGAGAAAAAGAGGTATTTAGGAGCACAGGAGCAAAGTGGGGACACACAGATTCAAGGTGGAGAGATTGGCAGAGTGAGCTGGACAGCCTGATATACAAAATTGCCACAGGCAACAGAGATAAAGATCAAGTTTAGGGAGGCGCTGGTCCAATGGTAATGGGTTATCAGAACTTACTAACACTAGTGTCACTAAAGTTGATGTACAATGCCCCCACTGCTAAATTTGACTGCTTTAAAAAATTTTAGGCAACCTGGGCAACATAGGGAGACCCCTTCTCTACAAAAAATGCAAAAAGTAGCCAGGCATGGTGGCATATATCTGTAGTCCGAGCTACTTGGGAGACTGAGGTGGGGGGATCACTTGAGCCCAAGAGTTTGAGGCTACAGTGAGCCGTAGTGGTGCCACTGCACTCCAACCTGGGTGACAGAGTGAAAAAAATTTTTTCAAATAAAGAATTTAGGAAGGTAGACAGAGACGAGGAGACCAATTAGAGTCACAGTTTCTCTTCCAGAGGTCATTGTGTCTAACTTAACTGCTTTCTATTGCCACAAATAAGGTGCTTCAGAGTGGGATGTAACGTGGATTTAAGATCAGAGTGGGATCTACTGTGGATGAACTTGGCTCCTTTGCCCAAACCCTGGTAGGAGAGGTGTGGGGTGGACTAGGAGGAGAAATCCTAAACTTTTCCAGTTACTGGAATTATATCATCAAAACTCAAAGATGCCTGGGAGGCTGGAAACTTGGCTTCTGATCCTGGCTCTGCCATGAACTCACTGTCACCTTGAGCAAATAATTTGTCTCTGGGTCTCACTTGACCATATGAAATGGGTAATGCCTCTTGTTCCGCCTCCTTCCCATAGATTACTGTGCAATAAAGATGGATGGGATGGGATGGGATGGGATGGGATGGGATGGGATGGGATGGGATGATGTCTGGGAAGGGATGGAAACCATCCTGGTGTGGTGGTTCAGAGTTTGGCTCTAGAGCCAGGCTCTCTGGACTCCACTTCTTAGTAGCTGGGTGGCACAGGGCTGCTTGCTTCTCCTCTTTGCACCTTTGATGTTTTTGTTTTTGTTTCGTTTTGTTTTGGGACAGAGTTTCACTCTTGTTGCCCAGGCTGGAGTGCAATGGCACAATCTTGGCTCACAGCAACCTCCGCCTCCTAGGTTCAAGAGATTCTCCTGCCTCAGCCTCCCAAGTAGCTAGGATTACAGGCATGCACCACCACACCCAGCTAATTTTGTATTTTTAGTAGAGACGGGGTTTCTCCATGTTGGTCAGGCTGGTCTCGAACTCCTGACTGCAGGTGATCCGCCCATCTTGGCCTCCCAAAGTGCTGGGATTACAGGCGTGAGCCACCGCACCTGGCTTCTCTTTGTGCCTTTGTACCTTGGTACTGTCATCTGCAGAACAGAGGTGATGACAGTACCATTGGGGCGTGGTGAGAATAAATGGCATGATGTGCCTGGAGTGGATCAGAGGAAGCTGGGGGGTCCTTCCTGCCCACTTACAGAGTTCTGAAGGACAGAGGAGTTCTAAAGGCTTGGGGAGGAGCTGCTGTTTCTTCCCTGGAAATGGCCCATTCCCACCTAGAGACATGGTGACCTGGGTAGGCCTTGGCACACCAAGTGTCTGAGGGAAGAGAAGAGTCACAGCTGGAGATCATCTGGTCCAATTTGCTCATTATACACACCGAGAAACTGAGGCACAGAGAAAGAATGGGTTGGTCATAGAGAAAGAGCAGAGCCTGGACTAGAGCCCAGGCCTCCAGCACCCAAAGCTGGCCTTCAAAGGTGGGTTTGAGGGAGCCCTGAGGGCAGTAACAGAGACAGTGGGTTCTGCACTGGGAGGCAGAGAAGGACCAAAGGAGGATGTTGTGGGGAGCAGCCCATCCATCCCTCACTTCACTGCAGCCTGAATCTCTCAGGGGCCTGATCAGTGGCCTTTTCCTGCAAAGGACAGGCAGACCCAGGCTGGAGAGCAGGTGCCTCTGCTCCCCCAACCATCTGCTCTCCCACACACTCTTCTCCTGGCTAAGGCTGGCAACCCCCAAGGTGCCACTTCAGTGAGTGCACTTTTATTATTATTATTATTAATGAGGTTGTTTCCTTATAAAAGATCCAGGTGGGCCGGGCACGGTGGCTCACGTCTGTAATCCCAGCACTTTGGGAGGCCAAGGTGGATGGATCCCCTGAGGTCAGGAGTTCGAGGCCAGCCTGGCCAACATGGTGGGCAGGGAGACAGCAGTTGGGTGCTGTGCCCCTAAGGTCCAGCTCAGGCTGTGGTCTCTACTAAAAATACAAAAAATTAGCCAGGCGTGGTGGCATGCGCCTGTAATCCCAGCTGCAATCAAGAGGCTGAGGCAGGAGAATGGCTTGAACCTGGGAAGCGGAGGTTGCAGTGAGCTGAGATTGTGCCATTGCACTCCAGCCTGGGCAACAAGAGTGAAAACTCCGTCTTAAAAAAAAAAAAAAGATCCAGGTGATGGGGTCAGGGATGAACTGAGTCCCACAGGTGCCTATAGCCCTTACCTGAATTATCCAGATGGCAAGGCCCAGACTTGCACTCCTTGTCTATAGAAAAGAAACAGTAAAGAATGAAAGGCTCAGGAGCTCTCAGGATGGAAAGGGACCTCAGAGCCCTGGTGGTCCATCCCTGACTTGTTCTAGGAGAAGTTGGTCCATTTCCCCCTAATTCTGCTCTTTCATGGTGGAACCTCCTTGACTAGGTTTGCCTCAACCCATGAGAAGCAGGGCCAGAAGGAAGTGGGCCATCAAAGCCAGGGTCGACTCTGGGGCACTCCTGCTCCCTGGGCCTGTAACTTTGCCTCCCTGCCACGCTCACCTCTCCCTCTTCCACGCCTCGCCCTAGCCTGGTTTGTGTTCTTTGCATGCCCTCCTCACCTTATGTCAACTCATGCATGCTCCTGTTGCTGTCCAAGATAGGAAGTGAAGTCCTTAGCCCTTCAGAAATTAAGAACCTGGGCCCATCCCCGTGGTTCTCCTTCTGGCCGTGCTGGGGACATGGACAGGAGGAGCGTCCACCACTTCCCGACCACAGCCTGAGTGTGACCTTAGGGGCACAGCACCCAGCTGCTGTCTCCCTGCCCCCACCACCCCACCCAGCACAGAATTCTTCTTCCAGCTCATAAATGCACTCTTCTCAGAAACTGAGGTTGGGGCTCCTACTCATTTCTGGCAACAGCTATTTAGGTATCAATAATCTGGCTGGAAAATAATTCCCTTCCAGCCTCTGACCAGGAGAAAAGCCCGACCAGGCCTGCTTGCCCGCCCAAATGGTCAGAGACCCCTCCCTTGGCCAGGAAACCTTTCCAGCCACCCAGCAGGCAAGTGGCCAACTATGGCTTAGATCCCTTCAAGGGCAGTAAGTGCACCCCTCAAAAGGTTATGTCTCCCCTTAGATGGAAGGGGTTGGGAGCTGGTGGATATGACTGGTTGTATTTATGTATCCCTGGGACACAGGAGGTAGGGGCTTGGGTTTGCCAAAGTCCCTGGTGGATGTGGAAGGCCCACCTTCTGCACAGGTGCTGACTGGCGCTTGCCCTCCTACCTTTGATGTACTCGCAGTTGTAGGTGCTGCGCTTGCCCAGGGCCTGGAGGTAGATGCGGGCGGGGCCCTGGGCCGGTCTGCTGGCATTGATCACCTGGAAGGTCTCGAAGGGGGGGATCAGCACCTCTTCCTCTCCAGGGAAGAAGGAGTAGCCCTTGATAGGGGCCCCAAGGCAGGTCCAGATGCCAAAGAAGGTGTCCTCACCAAATTGCTGGGCTGCAACATTCTTCAGGGAGGCGGAAGCAAAGCCCCCCAGCCTCACAGTGGCCCCGGGCCCTGCTGGCCGGAAGTGCAGGCCATGCACACCTCGGAACACCTGGTGGCACCGGGGTGGACGCTGGCCCCTGCCCAGGAGCTGCAGGGCCTCGGTCAGCAGGAAATGGAGTGTCTTGAAGGAGAAGTGATGGAGGTAGTGGGCCCGGGAGCGACCTGCCTCACGCACGGCTGCATTGAACTCCTTGTGCAGGGGGCTGTTGGCTGTGTAGGCCAGGAGGGCCACCCCATGCTCATCGCGGAAGCCCAGGGGTGGTGGGGGTGGACGGGTAGGGCTGAGACTCCACTCTGGCCCCCAGGCCTGGCGCTCCTGCCATTGGCTGCTTGCCAGTGTCCAGCCATCTGCATACACCTTGTTGGCCTGGAACTCCGTGTGGTTGAGATCTGGAAGAGCAGCTGTCATGGCAGCAGCACAGCCAGCGTACTGGTCATCAAAGGAAGCCAGGGCCATGTCCAGCGGCATCTCTTGAGAGAAGAGGTCTCGTCGTGTGATGGGGTGGCTCTGGGCCTGAGGGGGCAGGAGCAGCAGGGACTGAGAGGATAGGCCCCTGAGAGAATGAGTCCCCTGCCATCCAGCTCTCCCCTCCACTGAGAAAGGCAGGAAGGACCCCAAACACACCTGGAGGGGAAGGGGATTGGGAACCTCTGGCTATAATTTCCCCAAGACTAGCATCTGGGGCTGTCCCCTTGGGCTGAGTGATCCCCAAGGGAAGCGTCAGGCATTCTTTCCTCTCTCCTTCCAGGGTTCAGAAGAAGCTGATGGCTCAGTTCCCTGCTGGGGTGGGAACAGTGGGGGATGCCCATACCTGAAGTGCTTCCATGAGGCCCACAGACACAAGAAGCAGAGACATCATAGCAGGCATCTGCATGCTGGTGACCCTGGGCCAGTTGCTGTCCCTCTTTGAGTCTCAGTTTCCTCATCTGGAAAATTGCAGTGTTAATCTGTATAGTTTAATAAACATGAATCGACACTTAGTCTGTGCCATTCCTAGTGCTTGGCACTGAGAGTCACAAGACAGACATGGAGGCTCAGAAGAGAGAGGACCTTTCTTGCTGGAAGGAACATGCGTGACTTCCTGGAGGAGTGACGTGAACAGGGTCTTGCAGGATGAACAAGAGACTAAAATGTCAGCAAGTGGAGACTGGCAGATATTGTGCAGCAGGAATGGAAAAAGCAAATGTATTGGAGGTGGGAACTGAGGATGTAAAGAGGGAAAGACATGTCATCTAGGCTGGCAGAGCTCGCAGGGTAGGAACGTTGGGAAGATGGGCCAGTCATGAAGGGACTTGACAGCCACGGTGACAGCTGGGCTTCACCTCACAGGGGTTGTGGGGTTGGGATGGGGGCAGATCCAGGAGTGTTCAGCTGGTGGGGCCTTAGCAGGACTCCAGGAACAGACTTAGAGCAGGGCTTGGTCCACCGGTTGCCCCCACTCCCTGCAGTCCTCTTGTGGAATGAACCTTCCATGCTTCCAGGGAGGGACAGATATAAACCCCAGGTGCTGGGGAAAGAGGGGATCAGAAAAGCAGGAGAGAACAGAGGATAATGGTTTCCCCAAAGCAAGCAGCATGAACCACAAGCGTTCCACACCCTCCCTGCTGGGGGACAGGTGGAGTGCCTGAAGTGTCTCCAAGAAGAGGGTGTCCAGGCATTGGGTCTGGATTGAAACTGGCAGTTTTCTTTTTTTTTCTTTTCTTTTCTTTTTTCTTTTTTTTTTTTTTTTCTGAGACCAAGTCTCACTCTGTTGCCCGGGCTGGAGTGCAGTGGCATGATCTTGGCTCACTGCAACCTCCACCTCCTGAGTCCAAGTGATTCTTTTGCCTCAGCCTCTGGAGTAGCTGGGACTGCAGGTGCCTGCCTCCACGCCCAGCTAATTTTGGTATTCTTAGTAGAGACAGGGTTTCACCATGCTGGCCAGGATGGTCTCGAACTCCTGACCTCGGTGATCCGCCCACCTCGGCCTCCCAAAGTGTTGGGATCACAGGCATAAGCCACCGCACTGACCCTATTGTCATTTTTTTAAGAACTAAAAGGAAACATGCTTACACATACACACTTTATTACCTTTTTTCCTCAGGAAAAAAATATGAACTTCCTTCCATGTCAGTACATACATACCTCCCTTGCTCACATAATGGCAGCTTGGTTTATCTCACGGTATAAACCATAATTAACCATTTCATACTTATGAACACTTAGATTTTTTTCCTAATTTTAAAATATTATACATAATACTACAGTGAATATTTAGGTATATAAATCCTTGTCTACTTGTGTGCATGTTTTTATAGGAAAGATTTTGAGAAGTAAAATGAGATTTAAAGAATATGAATACTTTTTATTTTGATAGAAACTACCACCCCACCAACAATGGATGAGAGTGCCCTTTATTCCACATCTTTGCCATTGCTGAATATGATTGATCTCTTTTTAATTTCCATTTAACTGGTAGGCAAAATGGTATCTACTTTTTTTGTTTGTTTGAGGCAGGGTCTTGCTCTGTTGCCCAGGCTGGAGTGCAATGGCATGATCATAGCTCACTTCAGCCTTGACCTTCTGAGCTCAATCGATCCTCCTGCCTCAGCCTCCCAAGTAGCTGGGACTACAGGCACACAACACAATGCCTGGCTTATTTTTATATTTTTTGTAGAGATGGGGTTTTGCCATGTTGCCCAGGCTGATCTCGAATTCCTGGGCTCAAGCGATCCACCCACCTTGGCCTCCCAGCATGCTGGGATTACAGGCATGAGTCAAAGCTTCCAGCCTCTGTTTTCTTTCTGTACACAAATGGTAATATAGTCAATGGGCCTTTATCTTTTGGAATCTGATAAAAGCTGAAACCTCCCTTTAGAAAATGAATATATGCGCCTTCAAACAAATGTTACATAAATATCAGGGTGGTTAAGCTTCTGTCCCCAATCTCATTTAGGTTAAGCGTCGCTGCTTTATCATCTCTGGCTCTGGGGAGACCTAAGTTTGGATAGTTCAGTGACTCTAAGACACTGGGATTCTATGTGTCTATAATTAATCTTCAAATCTAAGACCTGTAATTGCCAATACACAATTTAAATGTGAAGTATGAGCTTCTCTGGGCAATGGAGTTAGCAGTAGTTTTTACCAAATTCCACATGTCCAAAATGGAGCTCATTATCTTCTCCCCCTCAAAAGCTGCTTACTCATTTATTCAACAATTTTTTTTTTTTTTTTTTTTGTCTAGCATCTGTAGCATGTCAGGTACTAAGGATAAAATTATGAACAACAGCCAGGCATGGTGGCTCCAGCCTGTAATCCCAGCACTTTGGGAGACTGAGGTGGGAGGATTACTTGAGCCCAGGAGTTTGAAACCAGCCTGGGCAACATGGTGAGACACCATCGCTACTAAAAATAAAAAAATACGTCCGGGCAACTTTGGGAGGCCGAGGCGGGTGGATCACCTGAGGTCAGGAGTTCAAGACCAGCCTGGCCAACGTGGTGAAACCCCATCTCTACAAAAATACAAAAATTAACTGGGCATAATGGCAGGTGCCCGTAATCCCAGCCACTCGGGAGGCTGAGGCAGGAGAATAGCTTGAATCCAGGAGGCGAAGCTTGCAGTGAGCCAAGATCGCGCCATTGCACTCCAGCCTGGGCGACAGAGTGAGACTCTGTCTCAAAAATTAAAATACATACATACGTACATACATACATACATACGCCAGGCTACAGGGTGTGGTGGTGCATATCTGTAGACCCAACAACTCGGCAGGCTGAAGGTAGGAGGATTGCTTGAGTCCAGGAGGTTAAGGCTGCAGTGAGCTATGAAAACCCACTTCCCTGGGCGGGTGCGGTGGCTCACCCCTCTAATCCCAGCACTTTGGGAGGCCAAGGCGGGTGGATCACCTGAGGTCAGCAGTTTGAAACCAGACTGGCCAACATCGTGAAACCCCATCTCTACTAAAAATGCAAAAAATTAGCCGGGCATGGTGTGCGGAAGCTGAGGCCGGAGAATCTCTTGAACTTGGGGGGCGGAGATTGCAGTGAGCCGAGATCGCACCATTGCTCTCCAGCCTGGGCTACAAGAGTGAAACTCCGTCTCAAAAAAAAAAAGACTTGAGTTCTTGTCTGTGGTCTCTTGAAGTTCACCAAGGAGGCTAGAGCTGCTGTTACTAGTTGCTCACTTTCCTGTGTGTAGAATCCAGTCATGGGCTCAGGTGAGGCTTTTTCTCACTCTATGCACCCCAAGAGAGGAACACATGCCCCAGGACTGGTGCCCTAAGGCCTTGACCATTGTGATTGGCTCATGGATGGACACATGACCCAAGAAGGCCAATCAGAGGCCTTCCTGCCAGTTGATCTAAGGATTCAGGGTAAAAGAGAGTGTACCTGACCCTGTGGTTTCCTCAGCCCAAATTCCCGGACACCGTCTTTGAGTCCACATGCAGGTGCAGTGGATAGTTCTCACGCAGGCTGTCAGCCTCCCACTTCTAGGGCTCACATTTTTCTGTGTCTGAGGCGTTCTTCATCACCCTGGGAGCCTGTTTTTTTGCAAGCACAGGGCAGGCCAAAAGTGTAGGGGATTTAATGTTCCCAAGGACAGCCTTCAACCAATGAGGTCTGGAAGTCAGACTTCCTGTCCCATAGAGGGTCCCCGGTGGGACTAGTTGATCACAGTGGTAATAGGCTTTTAATTGGCTGCTTTTCTCTTCTCTATCTGACTTTGCCAATCCCTGACTTGTATTTCTTGGGATCACTTTATAAAGAAGTTCACTGCACCCATGTACTTGTCTATGGGTCTGCTTTTGGGGGAAGGAAACTGAGAGTCTTTTCTTCGGAAGATTCTTCTTTAGTCTGGACCCCCAGAATGAACACATGAGGAACAGGCCTGAGCCCAGCCCAGAGCGAGGAAGACCCCAGCTGAGCCAGACCAGTGGCCTGAGCAGAGCTGCCCAACCAAGTCCAGTTTAGATAAGCCACTTGCTGTCAACCCGAAGACCATGAGCCTGGGAGTAAATGTTTGTTTGCCACTGAGATTTTGTGGCACACGGCAAAATGGTTATGCAGCAAAAGCCCACGGGGCCAGCTGTATCTCTCATTGCGTCTCTGCAACTCAGTTTCTGTCTGCCTCTGCTCTACAGTAAACAAGATAGATCAGAGGCTTGGGGGGAGGAGAGGCTTGAAGGCAGACTGAGGACACGGAATCAGAGGACCTAAGAGAATGGCAGTGAGGACACACAGAGTTAGGAGATAGAATTTACAAGACTTGACGTCTGATGGGCTATAGGGGACGTGAGAGAGGGAAAAATCAAAGATGACACCCAGGTTTCCATTCTTTAAACTAGAAACACAGAGGAGAAGTAGAGTAGACTTAAAAAAAAAAAAAAAAAACGGCCGGGCGCGGTGGCTCAAGCCTGTAATCCCAGCACTTTGGGAGGCCGAGACGGGCGGATCACGAGGTCAGGAGATCGAGACCATCCTGGCTAACACGGTGAAACCCCGTCTCTACTAAAAAAATACAAAAAAAAAAACTAGCCGGGCGTGGTGGCGGCGCCTGTAGTCCCAGCTACTCGGGAGGCTGAGGCAGGAGAATGGCGTAAACCCGGGAGGCGGAGCTTGCAGTGAGCTGAGATCCGGCCACTGCACCCCAGCTTGGGCGACAGAGCCAGACTCCGTCTCAAAAAAAAAAAACAAAAACAAACAAAAAAAAAACGAGGCCCCTCTTTTATTGCCCATCTTCTTCCACCATTCTTACATGACTGCAGAGTGTCCTGCTCCAACACAGCCCTGTGAAACTTTACTTTTTTTGTTTCAGCCTCATTGAAGTATAATTGGTACACAAAAAACTGCACATAATTAATATATACAATTTGGTGATTTTGGAACTAAGTATACACTCATGTTACCATTACCACAATCAAGGGAATAAACATGTTCGTCACCTCCAAGTTTCTGTGTATCCCTTTATTTTCATTTTATTTTTATTTTTATATTTATTTATTTATTTTGAGACAGGGTCTCACTCTGTTGCCCAGGCTGGAGTGCAGTGGCACGATCTCATCTCACTTCAACCTCTGCCTCCTGAGAATCAAACGATTCTCCCACCTCAGCTTGCCGAGTAGCTGGTACTACAGGTGCCCACAACCACGCCCAGCTGATTTTTGTATTTAGTTGAGAAGGGATTTCGCCATATTGACCAGGCCAGGCGGGTCTCGAACTCCTGACCTCAGGTGATCCATCCGCCTAGGCCTTTCAAAGTGCTGGGATTACAGGCGTGAGCCACCGTACCCAGCCTTGTGTTTTTTGTTTTGTTTTGTTTTTTGAGACAGTTTTGCTCTCGTTGCCCGGGCTGGAGTGCAATGGCGCGATCTCGGCTCACTGCAAACTTTGCCTCCCGGGTTCAAGCGATTCTCCTGTCTCAGTCTCCCAAGTAGTTGCAATTACAGGCGCGCGCCATCATGCCTGGCTAATTTTACATTTTTAGTAGAAATGGGGTTTCTCCATGTTGGTCAGGCTGGTATTGAACGCCCAACCTCAGGTGATCCACCCACCTCAGCCTCCCAAAGTGCTGGGATTACAGGCATGAGCCACCGCGCCTGGCCTGTTTTTAGTTTTATTTACTTTTGTTTTGGTTTTGGCTTTCATGTAGCAAGAACATTTAATGTGAGATGTACCCTCTTCACCCATGTTTAAGTTCACAATGCCTTATTGTTACTGTAGGCACAATGTTATACCAGAGGAGACTTGAAAAGCTCATTTTGCTCATTATTGTAGTCCCATTACAAAGCAGATGCTCAATAAAAATGTATTGAATTAATGATCAGGTTTGGAGGGGAAATGGTGAGTTCACTTTGGGAAATGTGAACTCCCCGAAGCAGATGTCCAAGAGGTAGCGGAATGGACAATCAAGGAGACATGAGAGTCACAGGCGATTGAAATCAGGGAAGAGATGCGATCCCCAGAGCAAGGAAAAGAGAAGGCTGAAAGGCAGAGGGCGAGCTGCTTGATGGTTGAAGCCAGAGGTCAGGTGGAGCCGCACTCCTCCTTGGCTTTCTAGAGTCTCTTTGCATCTGGTCCTTGGGTTCCATGAGATACCATGGTATCCTTGTGATAAAATCCTCTTTAGGCTTAATCTAGCTCATGGTGGCTCCTGTTAATTTGCCATGGCAAGTCTCACGTGATAAACCATCCCCATAATTCACCCAGTCATCCGTGATGGTCCCCTGGGTGTCCATTCAGTCAATCATTTGTCAAACATTCACATAGTTGCCAACTAACGCTGGGTGAGATAGGGGTCCATCCTAGATTCTCCTTCCCTTCAACATCCGCACTCCCTGCCCTGGCTCAGGCTTGCCCGTGCCTCCTCACTGATCTCCCCCTCCACAGTCAGCCCCACTAACCTGCCTGCCCAGGGAGGGCGATGTTTCTAAACTGGTCATGTTCCTTATGTGCTTAAAAGCCCTCTGTGCCAAAACTGACTGGAAGAAATATCTCAAAGTATAGAGGAAAAATGCAGAGACGAAAATTATGAGGGAAGAGATTAAGAACACATCTAGAAAAAAAAAAGCAAACAAACAAACAGACAAACAAACAAAACATCCCTCCATACCCTCAAAACAGAGGCCAACATCCTTATCCTGGCCCTCTACGCCCTCTGCAGCTCGCACCTGCCACTCCTGCTTGGCTTCTGTAGTGCAGAACAAAGTCGCAGGTGGGACTCCATGGTTACCCTCCCTGGGGTTCTGCACACATTGTCCCCTCTCCTTGGGACACCCTTCTCCTGGCTACCCACTCTTCAAGGCTTAACCCGGGGGGGGGGGTCACTTCCTCCAGGAAGCCCTCTGACTCCTCTGGGCTCCCATATCACCCTGTGCTGTCCTCTGTCACTGTCCTTATTACACTGTGCTGCCCTTATATGTGCCTGGCTCCTCTCCTGGCTGGTGAATTCCTTGAGGGCAGGGAGCATGTATGCCAAGACCAGGCACTGGGTAGGCCTCAGCATGTTTGCTGAGAGTCTGAGGAACTTTCTCAGCTCAGCTAACAGCGTAGACCACTGCAGAGCAGGTGGGTGGCTGGCCTTGGTGACCAGTGTCAGGGGAGATGTAGTGGGAGCCGGAGGGACAGGGTGGGCATGGGCCAAATTGCTGGGGATGCTGAGTAACTCTTTTCTAGCCCAAGGGAGTTGCCGTTCTGTCCTCCCTCTCATCCCGCTTGGGGCCATTCTTTCATCAGTTCCTCATCCAGGCCCTTGCTGAACATACCCTCCTGGGAATGTGAACCCAAATCTCCCCACAGGAATCTCAAACTTCCCAGGGACCCCAACCTTCCTAGGTATCCCAAACTTCATCAAAGTTTCCTGGAAACTTGTTCTCATGACTCCTAAAATTCCACCATTCATCTCCCAAACTTCACCTCAAAACCACTTTTCCTGCCCAACACCCAGGGAGAGGGGTGCGCTCCTTACCTAGGCCTTGTCCTGGGTGGGGAAGCTGCTGCTGGTCTCCACCATGGCCACCAGGAGAGGGGAGGACAAGTTTCTTTTTGATATTGTCAATCCCCACCCCTTGCACCTCCCCCACACAGCTGCTCAGAAACATGACATTCCCCCATCTATTTCTGGATGTCTCCTCAGGGCTCAGGAACACCAGCCTCTGCTCAGTCTGACCTGCCCAGTGTTCGTCCTACAAAAAAGAGAATCCCTGAAGCCAGATAGGAGGTGGACTGAAGCACTAGGGATCCAGGTTGGGACAACTGCCTCCTCGCTGGCTATGGTCCTGTACTCTGGTTAGTCAAGGAGGAGGAAGAGAGGAGGAAGCTTCAGCACCTCAGCTTCAGAGAGCATCTCCTTAGATTTTGTACCTTTCACGTGAACACTGAGACTTAGCAAGGTGCCAGGAGAGATTCAAACGAAGGAGGCTGGATTCTGGGCCCCAGTTCCAGCTCTGACTCGCCAGGTGATCTTGGAGGACTTCTTTCTGCTACACTTAGGATCCCTGCCAATGACTAGATTTTTTTGTTGTTGTTTTTTTGTTTTTTATTTTTTGAGATGGAGTCTTGCTCTGTCGCCAGGCTGGAGTGCAGTGGTGCAATCTCGGCTCACTGCAACCTCTGCCTTCCGGGTTCAAGCAATTCTCCTGCCTCAGCCTCCCGAGTAGCTGGCACTACAAGCGCCCGCCACCATGCCAGGCTAATTTTTGTATTTTTAATAGAGATGGGGTTTCACCATGTTGGCCAGGATGGTCTCAATCTCTTGACCTCGGGATCTGCTCGCCTCAGCCTCCCAAAGTGCTGGGATTACAGGTGTGCGCCACCGTGCCTGGCCCCCAATGACTAGATTTGAGTCCATCTCTTGGGGCCTTATTTTGGGTTCCAGGTCCTGGGATGGGAGAAGCAATCCCCCAAAGCCAGAGAGTGGAGAGGGACAAAGCAGTGATCCCAGTAGATCTGGTCTCGGGGCTGTCCCAGCAGGCCAAGCTGTCCCCAGATGGTATCTTCTCTTCAAGCAACTGTAAACACTCAGCTTCCTCCAGAGAGCGGGGCAGGCAGGATATGTAGGCAACTTCTCTTTCTTTCTCTTTCTCTCTCTCTCTCTCTCTTTCTCATTTTGCCTTTAGCCCAGGCAACTTCTTTCTCTTTCTTTTTTTCTCTCTCTTTCTTTCTGGCATTTCGCCCAGGCTGGAGTGCAGTGGCTCCATCTCAGCTCATTGCCATCTCCACCTTCTGGTTTTTTTGTTTGTTTGTTTGTTTGTTTTGAGACGGAGTCTCGCTCTGTCGCCCAGGCTGGAGTGCAGTGGCCGGATCTCAGCTCACTGCAAGCTCCGCCTCCCGGGTTTACGCCATTCTCCTGCCTCAGCCTCCCGAGTAGCTGGGACTACAGGCGCCCGCCACCTCGCCCGGCTAGTTTTTTATGTATTTTTAGTAGAGACGGGGTTTCACCGTGTTCGCCAGGATGGTCTCGATCTCCTGACCTTGTGATCCGCCCGTCTCGGCCTCCCAAAGTGCTGGGATTACAGGCTTGAGCCACCGCGCCCGGCCCACCTTCTGGTTTTAAGCAATTCTCCTGACTCAGCCTTCTGAGTAGCTGGGATTACAGGTACCCACCACCATGCCCGGCGAATTTTTGTATTTTTAGTAGAGACGGGGTTTCAACATGTTGGCCAGGCTGGTCTTGAACTCCTAACCTCGTGATCTTCCCGCCTCAGCCTCCCAAAGTGCTAGGATTACAGGAGTGAGCCACTGCGCCCTGCCCTGGAGCTGTTTTTCTAACAAGCACTCAGAAGCACCTTCCTCCCCACCCTCCTCCAAGACTGGACCCACAGTATGTCTTCCCGTTTGGTCTACAGAAAGGATTCTGGGAGATGGCAGGATTCTAGGTGGAGGAAACTTTTTATTTGACAGTCTGAGGGGATGAGGGGACAGGGATGGGGGAAATTAATGAGCCAGACCAGGCTGGAGTCCTTTGGGTAGCTCTAATCTTTCGTGCCTACCTCAGCTCCAGCAGGCAGCATTTCCAAATCCTAGCTTTCGGAACCCTCAGAAATCCTAGCTTTCAGCGACCCTCCCTCCTCCTGGCTCAGGCTGCTGGGAAGCTCTTCCCTGAGCTACGAATTCCTCCGCTGGCCCCTTCCCCCATGGCCTCTGACGCGGCATCCAAAACTCAGAGCCAGGTTATTTATAGATAAGCCCAGAGGAGGTCGGGGAAAGGCCAGTGTTTACAAACATGGGTCACCTGAGTCTGAGCGGCCCCGAAAGCGGTCTGGGGGAGGGGCGAGCCTGGATCCTGTGGATTTGCGACCAAGGGCTCTGTCTCTGGCCCAATCCCACTGAAGGGGTATGGGGAGAGGGCCCAGAGAAGGGAGGGAGTGGGCGCTGCTCAGATGCTGGAGCACGTGGCCCAAGGTGTGGGCCAAATGCAAACTCTGCAATTCAGAGTGCTCCAGGGGCGACCTTTTGGCTGGCGGGACCTCCGCGGGGCCCCCTGGCCTGGTCGTCTGGGGGCCAGGGGCCGAGCGGGTCAGGGACCGCCTGAGGGAGAGACCAAGTCTCACAAGTTCCTTCCCCCTCACAGCCAAAGAGGGTCCCGCAGAAAGACCCCGCAGTCCTGGAGAAGGGGAGTTGCCCCTCAGCCCCTGCCCCGCCGCGGCCGCTCCCACCCCGCGTGCGGCGCTGGGAAAGGGGTGTCGGGTTACCAGCGCGGGGGCTCTAGTTAGCCTCGGGAACCTTGCTTTCAGCCGGACTCCGGGGACAGCGCAGCGCCCGCCCGAGCCCTCGGCGCTACCTCCTGCTTGCGGCCTCCACAACCTTCAGGTGGGTCCTCCGCCCGCCCCCGGCCCTCTCCTCTCTGGCGGAGCCAAACTGAGGCCCCGCCTTTACCGTCTCAGAAAAGTCCCCGGACTGGAGACTCTGAGGAAGGGGCGTCGGGAGTCTGGAGCGGAGACTTGGAGCCGAGGGCGGACAATAAACTCCAGGCCCCGCCCACGCCCCCGGCCCCGCCCACGCCCCGCCAGGGCCCTAATCCTGGACCCCGGATCCCGCGCGCCTGGAGACAGGGTCCAGATCTCCCTCGAGCCCCTCGAAACCAGGACTCCAGCGCCACTGGTCCCGCCCTCACCCGGACTCCTGGCCCTCACGTCTCCTCCAGGGATGGCACTGGCGTCATTGATGATGGCCCTCGGCTGCCTCGGTCTCCACACCTGGCAGGTAACTCCAGGAACCATCTCCCGTCCCCAAGGGGGACATTGAGGGGCAGACCCTGAGGAAGTGGACTGGGGGCTGACTCCTCACAGCCCTCTCCCAGGGACTCTTCCCTAGGATTCCACTCTTAACTCTCTTCCTCTCAGGAACCTCCATCTCTGCAGGGAGCCCCAGGTTCCCATTCTGTCTCCTAGAACCCCCACCTCCATTCCTCTCTGGATGCCTCCAACATTCTCCTCCCCACCTCTCATCTCCCAGCGCAGGCACAGTCCGGCAAAGCCTCCTTGGGTTACCTGTGTGCTGCAGTCCTGGCAGCCTCTCCCAGCCAAGGCTCGTCCTCCCTACCACCCCTACCCCAAATGTGGGTACAGAGCAGGGGAGGACGCAGGCGTCTCAGAGCTGACAGTGATTTGGTGTGGTGGCTGAGCACCTACCTGCAAGGGCTTCCTGCTGGATGAGAGGGAAAGAGAGCCTGAGGAGACTGGGGCTGGGGGTCAGGTAGCTGGACACTTGCTGTGTGTAGTATTTGCACATCACCTGCCTGCTAGATCTTACAGCCAGAAAAGTGCTTGGTAGTCATCTAGTCCCACCTCCCACCGACCGCAGGAACCTTTCTAATGACAGGATGATCCCTTTTAGGTTGTACAGAGGTAATGCTCTTTATGCTGTCTTCATAATAACTGTGAGGTTGGAAGTATCCTCAAGTCCAGAAAAGTTATGACACTTGCCCAAGATCTCACAGCTAATAGGTGGTAAAGTCAAGATTTCAGGCTGGGCGCGGTGGCTTATGCCTGTAATCCCAGCACTTTGGGAGGCTGAGGCTGGTGGATCACTTGAGGTCAGGAGTTCGAGACCAGCCTGACCTACATGGTGAAACCCTGTCTCTACCAAAAATACAAAAAATTAGCTGGGTGTGGTATTGCACACCTGTAATCCCAGCTACTCAGGAGGCTGAGACAGGAGAATTGCTTGAACCCAGGAGGCAGGGTTGCAGTGAGCCAAGATCGTGCCATTGTACTCCAGCCTAGGCAACAGAGTGAGACTTCGTCTCAAAAAAACAAAAACAAAAGAACGAATTAGCCAACCATGGTGGCATGCACAGGTAATCCCAGTTACTTGGGAGGCTGAGGTGGGAGAATCACTCCAACCTGGGAGGCGGAGCTTGCAGTGAGCAGAGATCTCACCACTGAACTCCAGCCTGGGCAACAGAGCAAGACTCTGTCTCAAAAAAAAAAAAAAAGATTTCAGCCCATGTCTGTCTGACTCCAGTGCCTGTGCTATTTAAGCCTCTTATTGGGTCCTTGCCAAATTGCATATACCTGATATTTGGGGATAGAAATGAGATTCTGTGTTTCTGGATGGGTTTGCCCCCAGGACCCATGTCCAGTGCTCTGAACTTATGCTCTTTTCGGTGTGGCACCTCTCTTCCTTCCTCCACAGGCCCAGGCTGTTCCCATCCTGCCCCTGGGCCTGGCTCCAGACACCTTTGACGATGCCTATGTGGGTTGTGCAGAGGAGATGGAGGAGAAGGCAGCCCCCCTGCTAAAGGCGGAAATGGCCCACCATGCCCTGCTGCGGGAATCCTGGGAGGCAGCCCAGGAGGCCTGGGAGGACAGGCATCGAGGGCTCACCCTACCCCCCGGCTTCAAAGCCCAGAATGGAATAGCCATTATGGTCTACACCAACTCATCTAACACCTTGTACTGGAAGTTGAATCAGGCCGTGCGGACAGGCGGAGGCTCCCGGGAGCTCTACATGAGGCACTTTCCCTTCAAGGCCCTGCATTTCTACCTGATCCGGGCCCTGCAGCTGCTGCGAGGCGGTGGGGGCTGCAGCACAGGGCCTGGGGAGGTGGTGTTCCGAGGTGTGGGCAGCCTTCGCTTTGAACCCAAAAGGCTGGGGGACTCTGTCCGCTTAGGCCAGTTTGCCTCCAGCTCCCTGGATAAGGCAGTGGCCTGCAGATTTGGTAATGCCACCCTCTTTTCTCTAACGACTTGCTTTGGGGCCCCTATCCAGGCCTTCTCTGTCTTTCCCAAGGAGCGCGAGGTGCTGATTCCCCCCCATGAAGTCTTCTTGGTCACCAGATTCTCTCAGGATGGAGCCCAGAGCCTGGTGACTCTCTGGAGCTATAATCAGACCTGCAGCCACTTTAACTGCGCCTATCTGGGTGGTGAGCTGTGCATGGAGGAAGCAGGACTGGCAGTGTGGGTGAAATAAGCCAGAATGTCCCTACACAATAATCCCCAGGGCCTTCAGGAGACCCACTTGGTTAAAGGGGAATTGAGGGCTGGAAGTCAGCTGGAGTTAATGTCATCTGTGACTCGGGTTTTTTTGGGTCCTATAAGTGTTTTCCAGATTTGTGAACATTCTCAGATGATTCTATATGTCCTCAAAAGGGTCCATCTGCTACACAGTCTAATAGACCAAAAGAACCTGGTTAAGGAGATTAGCAAGCAGCAGAAAGAGCCAGGGGGACTGCTTCAGGTCTCAGGGGGCCCTGGACTCGATGAGGCTAATAGGGCATGTATGTGCCACTCCCAAGTGCTAAGGCAGGGACAGATGGAAGAGTGACGGGGTCTTGGGTGGGAAGAGGGATGGAAATGCAATCTGGAAAAACTTCCTGGAGGACCGAGGAGGAAGGGAAGTCAGAAGTTTCCCTTTAGGTGAAGGGAAAATAGATTGAGAGGGGAAATGGCCCTGCCAAGGCCTGATGGGCCGGGCAGTTTGGGTGTGAGTCTGTCCACATGGAGGCCTCACTCTGCTGTCTGTTGCAGGGGAGAAGAGGCGGGGCTGTGTGTCTGCACCAGGTGAGTCGCTCTTCCATCCTCCCTCAGCTGCTTTGACTCCCCCTCACCCTGCTGACCCCTTCCTTTTCTTCTCCCTCCAGCAGGGGTGCAGCCAGTCACAATCTGAGGGGGCCTCCTCTCTGCCCCCCTGGAAGACCCTGCTCTTGGCCCCTGGGGAGTTTCAGCTCTCAGGGATTGGGCCCTGAAAGTCCAACATCTGCCACTTAGGAGCCCTGGGAACGGGTGACCTTCATATGAAGAAGAGGCGCCTCCAACAGCCTTGAGAAGCAAGAACGTGGTTCCAGACCCAGCCCTAGCAGCCTTCTCCCCAACCCGGATGTGGGGCTGGGGAGGCCACGGCAGGGCTGAGGGAACTCTGCTATGTGGTGGGGACTTCCCGGGACAAGCAAGGGAAGTACTGAGGCAGCCACTTGATTGAACAGTGTTGCAGCGTGGAGACATGGAATTTTATTGAGGCAGCCACTTGATTAAAAGGTATTGCAGTGTGGAGACATGGAATTTTATGGTTGGTTTATTCCATGAGACTAGACCATCTGCCCCACTCTGGCCTTGCTAGGCTGAGGGACTGACTGAGGGACTAAAAAAATAACTTCCTGGGGCTGGGCGCGGTGGCTCACACTTGTAATCCCAGCACTTTGGGAGGCCGAGGCGGGCGGATCACGAGGTCAGGAGATTGAGACCAGTCTGGCTAACACGGTGAAACCCTGTCTCTACTAAAAATACAAAAAAATTAGCTGGGCGTGGTGGTGGGCACCTGTAGTCCCAGCTACTCCGGAGGCTGAGGCAGGAGAATGGAGTGAACCCATGAGACGGAGCTTGCAGTGAGCGGAAATCTCGCCACTGCACTCCAGCCTGGGTGACAGAGCAAGACTCCGTCTCAAAAATAATAATAGTAACTTCCTGGTCACTCCTAGACACAGTCTCCTGTGCAGACCCGTGTCACACTCTAACTTGCAAATCCAGAAGTTAGAACAGCTAGGGGGTCCTCACGACAACCATGAAGGCAGGAAAGCAGGCAGGTGATTCCTCAGCCCCACTTGCGAGGTGAGGAGTGCAAAGACAAGGAAGGAAGCAACTGGTCAGAGGGTTCCCATTGAACCCCGACCTCCCATCTCCCCGGCCTCCTGCCTCCTGGTCCGGAACTCTGTCCATGAAAGATCTGAGGAAACTCAAAGTAGGATCCTAAGCCCAAGACACTTGGGACCACAGAGCAAGTCATTTCTCTCTGTCCTGCTCCCACAAGGGTCCATTTCAGGGGAAAGAAGGGCGAGGACCTCAAAACATCAGGAGACAGAGATTCTCACACAGCCCGGAGGCCTCTCACATCCAGAACAGAAACTTTATTGAAGCAAGAAAAGCAGCGCAGGCTCCTCCCAAGGGGCCCCCCACCCTTACCCTCCTAGGCTACCACCCTTCCACTGTATCAGAAGAAGGGAGCCTTCCACTGTATCAGGACCTCCCCTTAGTCCCCGAATCCTCCCCCTGGGGCAGGTCCCCAGCCCCCTCTGCTTCCTGCTCCCTATGTATTAGCACATGAGCTGGGGAGCGTGGGCCGGAATCTCCAGAAGCCAGAGTCCTCGCCCCTCCACTGTCCGAAAGCCCGGTTCCTGATGATTCCTGGGTCCCCACAATCCCAGGCCCTGTCAGCTCTGGGGTCTCAGGGATGGGAGGCCCCAGGTTCTGGAAGCTGTTGTGCACTCAGGTGATGCAGTGACTGAGGATGCTGGCACTGTCAGGAGGCCGGGGTGTGCCTCCCTCCGCCAGAGTTCACTGCACACAGGCCACCTCGCTTTGCAGTCGAGATACGGTCTTGGTCAGCTCTGTGAGTCTGTTGCCCAGGTCTGGAGGAGGTGGAGTACTGAGGGGCCTTTCAGAGGATGAGCCTGCCCTGTACCCCTTTTACCCTTTACAGAATCCCAGGGGTTGCCATATCCGGAGTTCCTGAGGGAGAACTGGAAGAAGTGAGGAACGGGTGTATGGGTTAGGGGTCAGGTGGGTGGGTTAAACTGGGACAGGTGAATCCGATCGGGTGGGGAGGGAGGAGCTGAGGAGCTGGAAAGAAGGGAAGTCTGGGTGCCAGAGAAGGATGACAAGCCATGGGGAAAGGTGTTAATGGGTAGACGTTCATGCGTCCCCCCTCCGCCCTCTCCCCAGTCTATGGCCAGCCAGCTCACCACATCCTTCAGGGCCCAGTTCACATCCCTCCCCGCTTTGTCCATTCTGCTACTCTATCCTTCTGCCTTCTTATGAGCCTCTGAAAATGACGCGCTCCTTCTCCCTTCAGGCACTGATAGCAATTTGCGTCTGTCTTAGCTGCACTTAATGCCCAGTGTGATGGTTTCTCTTCCTCACCAGACTGAAAGCTTCCCATGTGTCCCTGCCCCGTCCCTCCCTCCAAGACAGGGCCTGGAACGAAAGAGGCCATAGTGATGAATGTTGGTGGAATGAGTCAGTAAGTGAGTGAATGAAAGAGGTGAATGAGTGACTGGGTAAGGGAGTAAATGGGAGAATAACTGAACGCACCTGAAGGCAGGAATGAGCAGTTACATGAAATGAGTGGGATAAATGCCCGGATGGGTCAGAGAGAGGGTGATGGAGTGCAAGGGGCCATGCTGTGCAGGTTGCCCTTCCAAGGGCAGGGCAGGATGGGGCCACATATTATGCAGGCTGAATGAGGATGTGACTCCGGGAATGGGGCCTTTATCCCAGCTGAGCAAAGAACAGGAATGGGGAGGGCTTGGAGGTAGGCGACGAACCTTTCTGCTGGGTCTCCTTGAATTTACGCTGGGCAGTCTCTATGTAGCGCTGCACCAGGGTGTTGATGATGTGAAGGCAGTAGGATCCATGCTGTTCCTTCCCAGGCACAGCCCCTGCCCCAAGATTGGCCTGGAATGGGAAGACAAGAGGGTGGGGGAGATTCTCTACCTCCAACCTTCCTCTGATTGTTGGGGTCCGCGTGTTTCCTAAACAAAGGAATGAACACACAAGACAACACAAGACAAGACAAACATGGCGGCCGCCTCGAATGGCGCGCTCTGCTTTATTTTATACAGTCGTTTGTGGAACGTTGCCAAGTCACAAGACACATTGTTGTTTTTCTGACCTTTCCCTGACTTTCTGGATTTTCAAGATATTTACATATAAACAGGCCCCCAACGCCCTGCTTCATTTGCGAGAGCAGGACTTATGGGGAACGCCCTGTTTGTGAGCACGTAGTCCTCTACATCTGATCACTGCCCATGCCCCCCAACCCCCAGGCAAAAAAGGCCCAAGCAAAGTCTGTGTAGACTTTTCTGTCCCTGACCCACCTAGCCCCTGGCCTCCACCCCACAGTGTGGACCTGGAAGGTAGAAGGACAGGGGCCAGAAGCTGGGGAAGGGCTGATGGTGAGAGGACCAGGAAGGGGTGGGTGAGGGCTGGGAGGCTGATGGTGAAGAGGGGAGAGCCCCCTACAGACCTGGCAGTACCTGAATTAGGAAGGCACCTTCATGCCAGGCCAGACTGGGCTGGGGAGCTCCTTGGATGTCTGGCCTCTTGGCCTCCTCTCTCAGGCCACAATCAGCCATCTAACTGCCCTGTTTGTGGGACATTTCTTTGACTTCTTAACATGTTTTTTTAAAAAATGTTCAAGTATGTCTCGGACCAGTTTAAGACAAAAAGTTCTGTCTGGATCTTAGTATTTCTAGCTTGGGAGGAGGATGGCAAGGACTTCTGTTTAGGCTGCATGACACAGGGTTGGAAATTCAGGAAATGGCCAGAGCCAGGAAGAGGGAAAGGGAAGCCACGTGAGAGAGTAGAAATTGAGACAGGCTTTCTGGGGAACATACCTGGAAAGATAGATAAGCCCGGGGTATGCAGACAAGTGGATGGTATAGACAATACAGGTGAAGGCCTGACACCAGGGCGACCAGCAACAAGCTGAGGAGGTACTCACAAAAGTAGGGATGAGGGGATAGTCTGGCTTCTTGGTTTTGCAGCAGGAACAGCAACAGCAAATGAACTGTCAAATTCTCCTGAGAGATTTCAATGGTGGGAAGAAGTTGGTTAGAGGACAGGGAAATGGGGGCAGGGGCTGGGGATTTGGGGAGTGGGAGCTCTGAGGTCATCACCTGAGAAGGTAGAAGACAGCCTTTGGGGAGGGCAGGATGTTGAAGGGCACAGGCAGTGTCAGGCCCTCTCGGAAGCAGGACAGACAGATCTTGGAGCGAGCAAACTTCCACTCCACGTCAGCATCATTCCGGGAGCCAGGCAGCAGGGGGTGGTGCAAGGACCTCGTTAGCACATGGCCCCCCTGCCCACTCACTTTCTTTTCCCCACTCCTCACATCTTTGATTCTCCAGTGTACCTATAATCCTAGCTAGCCTCTTTCTTCTCCCCATACTTATCTCCGACCTCCACTGTCCCCCATTTCCTCTCTCCCCACCATTGTCTTTCATCTTTCTGACATCCAGTTCCTGCCCAGCCTATTCTCCAGCCTACAGACCCTAACCCATCCGTTTCCTTCCCTCTCCCTCTCATGTTCCCGTTTTCTTCTCTACAACACACTCCTCTGCCCAACCCTAAAGGGGAATCAGCACTAGACTTGGTGTCCGGAGATACTAATAGCATCACTAAGACCCTCATTTTACAGAGGAAAACTTGTCCAAAGCCACAAGCAAGACAACAGTGGAGGCAGAGCACAACGCCACATGTCTTGCCCCTTTGCACCCTATTCCTCTCCATTCCTTTTTCCCTTCTGCTCCCTGGCCTAAACTGGCCTCTGTTTACACACCTCAATCTTCTGGAAGGAGTTGGTGATCATGGCAATGAGCATATCGAGCAGCACAATGACCACAACGATGGTAAAGATGCCATAGAGGGCCCGGCCCACAAACTCAGGCACCAGAAACTGCCCACCATGCTGCGCTCTTCCATGCTGAACATGGTCCAGAACAGAAACTGGAACGTCGCATTGAAACTGGCATGCCAGGCCAAGTAAGGAACAAAAAATGAGGGGTAGGAGAAGAGCCTGAGCTCACCCACACATACTCCTTCCCACCCCCAGGATGCGGCCAAGAGTGCCCACTTCTATGCAGCCCTTTGGACCACCTTGGCCAGTACAGACACTTGCTGTTTCTGAGCTCCAAATCTTATTCTTTCAGTCAACCAGTATTTACTGAGCACACGGTAGTGTCACAGGTGCTAAGGATACATCAGTGGACAAGACAAGCACGTTCCTGTCTTCATGGCCTTATGTTCTGGGGTGCGGGGGGTGAGATGGATATTACTTATACCAACAATTTAAATTTGTGGCTGGGTGTGGTGGCTCACGCCTATAATCCTAGCACTTTGGGAGGCCGAGGTGGAAGGAGAGCATAAGCCCAGGAGTTCAAGGCTGCAGTGAGTTGTGACTGTGCCACTGCACTCTGGCCTGGGTGGCACAGTGTGACCCTGTCTCAAAAAACAACAGCAAAAAACTTTTGACTTACTTAGCAGTCACTCATGAATGA